CTGAACTGGAAGAAAGCAAAAAATTTAAGATGCATTGTATGGACGTGGCAAATATCACCTGCACCTGCGTTCCACTGGCCAGAACTCAGCCATGGCCCCAGCGGGCGGCAGGGAGTGTGGAGATGTATGTATAATCGCTGTGCCAGGGAAGGAGGGGAGAGCCTGGGTATGGTGAGCACTGTATTCTCTGCCTAATGTCTACAGTGAAGACACGTCATCTTAGGTTTATTCTTGAACAGCTCTGATTGGAGACTCAAGAGGGAAAGTCGTTAGTAGTCAGATTAGTCTCCTGAGCTTGTATCTGGGTGTTTCCTCCAGAACAGAATTTCAGCCCATCGTGTGTGTGGCGTTCTGGGTGGCACTGCTGTCTTCCGAGTGTCTGTGGACACACGAGAAAGCATGAGGAGTCAACCGCCTACATGGTTAGAAAACGGAACACTTGAGGCAAGTGTAAAAAGAAGGGTCTTCCAGGGCCTCTGCCATCAGGAGAGCGCCATTGCTTCCACCATCCTGGGAGGAGACAGAATCCGCGCAACCAGCTTCCGCGGCCACTAGCACTCTGGAGCCTTTGAGGGGAAGAGAAACGTAAGTCTAAGCTACACCTGCAGCCACCTTGTCCTGATGGCGGAGGTGTTCGCAGGAGAAAGGGTTATAATGAGGGAAAGAAAGGAGGACGAGTGAGCAAAAGGCATGTGGGTTTTCTTAGCACAAATACCCTGTAAGAAAAATATAGAAGTTGGGGTTACCGTGGGGATTTACAGACACGTTAACCCAAAAGGCAAAGCCACACCATGAAGATGCAAGTTAGAAATGTTGGAGAACCACCCAGTTTTTTCTTACTGCAATAGACTCCGCTCCGTCTTTTTCTGTGTGCAGGGGTCCTCAAACTACGGCCCGCGGGCCACATGCAAATACAAATATTGTATTTGTTCCCGTTTTGTTTTTTTTACTTCAAAATAAGGTATGTGCGGTGTGCATAGGAATTTGTTCAGAGTTTTTTTTAAACTATAGTCCGGCCCTCCAGCGGTCTGAGGGACAGTGAACTGGCCCCCTGTTTAAAAAGTTGGAGGACCCCTGGAAGGGGTTGGGTAGAGTGCGGGGTCGGGGGAGAAGCAATGGACCAGGCTACATCCTCTCCACATTCTACTGTCTATCCTTGGTTTGTACTTTCCATTGGCTGTGGACATTGTGTATATGTATATGTAACTTAATATTTTCCCTTAATTTTAAAGTAGTGAGTATAAGAGAGAAGTCCTCTATTGTGACTATTCTGCACACTGAGAAATACAGCGGTGTTTCTAGAGACTTTAAGAAAAATGGTTAGAGAGGTTTGTTTAATATGTGGGGGCTTGTTCATGATATCATGATAATAATAAAAGGCATAATTTGAACTTGACCATATAGTACGATCTCAAAAAAGTACAGCAAGTCTAGAAAAATGTCCTTAGGGAAATTGCTAAAATGTTAGCTATTGTTGCCTTTCAGATTATTGTTGTAGTAACTTTTCAAATCAGGAAATGATAAACAATTGAGGAAATATATTAACATTTAATGTCGACAAAAAATTATGTATAAGAATTTAGAAAATTTTATGAAGGCAGAAGAAATTACTTAATTTCCTTTACCAAGAGACTGCCACCTCCAACATTTGGTATTTGCTTACTACGTGTTAAAACATTTTATACTATTTTTTTAGGTTAAAATAACATGTGTGCAGAGCAAAGAATCTGAATAGATATTTCTCCAAAGAAGTATACAAATAGACGATAAGCACATGAAACAGAACTCAACATCGTTAGCCATTAAAGCAGTGGTTCTTAACCTTCTGGCCCTTTAAATACAGTTCCTCATGCTGTGACCCAACCATAAAATTACTTTCATCGCTACTGCATAACTGTAATGTTGCTACTGTTATGAATTGTAATGTAAATATCTGATATGCAGGATGGTCTTAGGCGACCCCTGTGAAAGGATCATTCCATCGCCAAAGGGGTTGCGACCCA